GTTTATGCTGCGTGTTTGAATTGAGCTCTCTAGTCGGTGTGAGACACTTTACAGTTTATACTGTTATTTCTAAGCTCGAATTTGCTGTATGCATCTGATTTAGCGTTAGTTAGGCTAAAGAAGCCAGTCATTACCTCAATTTATTAGTGATTTGTTACATTCTTATTTTTCTGTTAGCCACAAGTGGTGGTGATTTGTAAGCACCAAATGCGTCGATCTATTTAAATTTAGTTTAAATAAAAAAAGGTTGTTTAAACCTTTCTAATGCAGCAATTATTCTTCAAGACATAGCGAGAATTCGTTACTTCGTCCACTACATAGAGCCTAAGTTGTATGCTAGCAAAAAGAACACGAAGACTCTATAATAGGAAAAAGAATAGCTTCAGTTTGTTACAGATTAAGCTATAATTCGCACAGTCAAGACTTACAGTCAGAGACTTTCTAGAGCTATTACCAAAGTCGAAATGATCAGAAGTTCAAAATCATCTATTTACACTGCTGGCCACCCAAATTACAACACCAAGAAAGACAAGAGATATCACAACAAAATTTATTTAGTAGATAACATATTGACCAAGTATCGAATGATTTAATTTATAGACTTCTGTGAAGTGTGCTTCCTTCCAGAATCAGTAGCCAGAGTAGCCTCCATTGTTGGAGATCAGCGCTGCCACACGCCTCGGAATTGATTCAAAGAGACTTTGGATGTGTTCTTGGGGTACAGCAGACCAAGCAGCTTCCACACGTTGCCAATGTTGATCTGGTGTCGCAGCTTGGGATGTAATCTGGGTCAATCGTTCAGCAACAATGGACCACATATTTTCTATCGGTGAAAGATCCGGACAGCGAGCTGGCCAGGGAAGCAATTCAATCTGGCGATTGACGAAGAACCCTTGGACAATGCGTGCCACGTGTGATCGCGCATTATCCTGTTGAAATACGGCTGTGGGCAAGCCCTGAAGGTAAGGAAGGACAACCTCGGAGATGTATCGCTGGCTGTTTAACGTACCGGCAATGCGTACTAGAGCAGTGCGAAAGCGATATCCAATACCGCCCCATACCATAATTACCCGCAGCAGGACCAGTGTGTCGATGCATAACGCAGCTGTTCAGCATCCTCTCTCCACGGTGTTTCCAGACTCGAATCCGACCATCGTGGTGTTGCAGACAGAAGCGTGACTCGTCAGTAAAGACAATTTCATTCCATTCTGCCGTCCACATCCTTCTTTCATCGCACCATTGGCGGCGGAGACGTATGTGGTTCTGCGTCAAGGGTAGACGAAGCAATGGACGCCTTGCGGACAGACCACTCTGCTGTAAACGGCTTCGAATGGTACGCGCAGACGCTGGATGATGCGTTACAGACTGAATGTGCTGTGCTATGGTTCGTGATGTAACTGAGGGATCCGTCACTCCCATGCGCACAATGTTCCTGTCATCACGTGAAGTGGTGCACTGAGGAGGATGCGATCGGACACGTGGGTCCGTCGTACCCTTATGCATCTAACGGTCACACATCCGCATTACAGTTGTTTGGTTTCGTCCAACACGACTACCGATTTCCCTGAAAGATAATCCACAGTCTCGGTAGGCCACTATCCTTCCTCTGTCGAACTCGGATACTTGATCAAACGATGATCGCTGTTTACTACGAGGCATAATTGATCTTTTTAAAAAAAAAAACTACAAGAGAAACACAATTGCCGAACTTGAAATCGTCGAAAATTCCAAGCTTTAAATAGCGCCTTGAAGTGGCGCCACAGGTGCGCATGATGCGCGTCTGCGCTGAAATTTTAATGATTTGTATATCCCACCTCCGCTAATGCATGTTTTAAATTTCATGTTATTCGCACGCTTCCTTCAGCGTGTTTTATTTACGGTGCCCAGCGGTGTATGTTCCTGCTTAGAGTGACTGACTTAACTTGAAATGATCATGTTTCACAAAAGGAATTTACGTAATAGGCGTAGAAAAATACGAACCCTTATCATTTTATTTCGTAAGTGACGAAATTTTATTTCAAACACATCCGAATTATTCGAAATTTTTAATCAGAATGTTATGAATGTCTACAAAGATGTTAGCATTGAGGACAAATTAATACCATATGAAGACTAACGATGCAGGAACTGTTGCAAGTTTAGCTAGCATAGCTCTCAGGAATTGCTTTTATAAAGTATACTTATCTTAAGAAGTAGTTATAACTGCAGTTAAGTTAAAGATGGGTAAAACGAAAGATTTCAGTGACATTGAAACAACATTTCTCGGGGTGGGGGCTTTGATTCCAACATTTTTTAAATGGCTGATGCTCTAAGCTTTCCTTTGCAACTGCATCTTCGGTGTTTAGAAAGTGGCAATTGAGCATAAAAATTTCTGGCTGGAAGAGTACTAATTCTAGTCATAATATGCTGGTGAACAAAAGAGGTGAAACGCAGCTGGCGCAAACTGTCCACAACAGAAAAACAACATCACAACAAATTGCAGTTCAGCTCAATCCTTGGACTTAGACTCTATAATTGAACAAACTATTTCGAAGAGCAACGTTGCCGGTTTCAGAATTAAAGCCCGAGGGTACATGACATAAAGAAATCCGGACTTGGAAAAAATCTCAGAGGAGAAAACAGAGAAAAGGGTAAAAAGAGAAGTACCAAAAGGTGCAAGACAAATTCAATCAGGCAAGTTCACAAAACGTGAAGAGCGATCAGAGCTTTCAAGAAGGATCCAAGACAATGCAATTTCAATGACAACAATATGAGAAAGTTACACTATAGCAAAGGTTTCAATGACAATTTCAAGTTCCTAAAACAACCTCAATCAAAACAACTAATAAATACAACACAATGTAATAAAACGATACAACACTATTCGTTACAGCAATACTACAACAACCTAGGCTACAAAGTTACAACACAACAATTCCATTACAACAATGTAAAAAACTCAAAACAACAGTTACAACAATTTCCAAGAACAATATTGTTACGGATTTGGTATTTAAATAGCTTATGTTAGTTGAATTGTAAATTAAATGGTTTTATTTCCCGCGCCGTGCAGCGCGTGACGGATGTTAAAAGAAAGCTAAGCCGGAAAATTGAAAATTCAAGAGCGCGTGCATGCAACATTTAATAAATATCTCTTTTTGATTTCGAGAAAGTACTAGAAAATTCTCGCGCGCGATATAAAAATCTTATAAAAAGGAGGAAAACCTCTCATTTCAATTAGTTAGTTATATTAGTTTGTTGTTTGTTTTAAGAGTTTGTTTAGAAAACTGCTCTTGTTGACTGTAGCGAATTCGCGGATTAGCTTTCTTTAGCTGTTTTGAATTAAGTTCTATTGAACGTTTGAGAAGTTAAAACATAACTACTATGAGATATTGTAATACTGCACGATAATTTGAGGAAATTTAAGCATATTTGCTGTGATAATAATAAATTTTGTTCATTTTTCATCGGACTTGTGCATTCATTTCGTGACGAATCCGTACGCACGCAACAATATTCATACTACAGAAGAACTTCAATCAAGATCTGATGCATTGGAAGTATAAACAGCTACCAATGGAGGAGCTAAGTGATAAAGTTGCCATCACCTCCCATGAAGGTGTGAGCTGCTAGTGGTCTGAGAAAACAGGAGCGGAGTGTAATACCACTCGGCTATCGTGGCTGCTCAGCACAATCCAGGAACATCCGCAATATATATCGGAATGCACAGCACTTCGCAACGGAAGTGATTCAACAGCAAGAACTACCAAGGACGTGTACTGATATTGGAATTGCTTATATCAACGATACACCAAAAGTGGAAGCCTGACGATTAGAAAAGTAATGGTTCGATGAATTTCCCTATCCTGCTCCATCATGCAGATTAAAAAGATCAGAATAACGCAAACAGAACGAATTTATGAATCCCTCTTGCCTAACGATACTCTACACGTTGTTGGCCGTGGACCTATGATTTCGAAAATATTTTAATGGCGTACAGTGGGTCCTTTGTATATCTGGAAACAGTTCTCAGCACCACAACTTACCTCAATATCGTTTTCGATCACATACAGCCGTCTGTGCTTCGATATTTCCTGATGCAGGTAATCATTTGCAGCAGAAAAATGCGCCTTGTTACCGTGCCCGATTGGTCTGAATTTGTTTGGAAAATCATGTTTAGGAGATCAAATTGCTTCTATGGTCAGCTTACTTTTCTGATCCGCAATCCCGTTTGGAATCTGTGTGAAGAAATGGAAAGATTCCTTCAAAGCATAAACATGCCGTCATTTAAAGCAAACGAAATTTAAGGTGATATTATATCGTAATGGTCTAATATTCTACAAGAACGTCGTTTAATTCATGCCAGTAAGAATATCGCCTTTGATCAGAGCTAAAGTTGGACCAGTCCTGTATTAATGGTATCTCTAATATTTTAGCCAGTCGGCGTAACTATAACATTGTTATGGAATGCTTAGCTGCGGTAAGATAGCTTCCCCGCAAAGTGGGCTTAGGGTTGCCAAAAATGGCAAAGAAAGGCAGGGTTGCCATATTTGGAGCAAAGTCTCCCATTTGGCGACATGCCACAGACGGAGCGAGAATATTCTAGAACAAATTCTTACCGGTTTACCCCAGAATGTTCTCGAAGGCATGTCAAAAGCTATTAAAACCCTGCTTGTACGCGGAGTAGCAGTGCATCATGAGTTTACCGTCAATGTATTTATCGTAGTTTTTTGACGATTGTAAACGCGTCTCTGGAACTCTCCTGTGAAATACTGGCGAATAAATTGTGTTTTGATTCTTCGTCAAATGTTGTCGTCAGTTACTCCCAATCCACGAACCCGTAGAGTGCGACAATACACAAGCATAGAAACATTTCTTTGACTAAATGCTTTTCCCACTGAACTTTCGTGACAAGCAAGGCAAGCAAAAAAGTGAATGGGAAAAGCTAAAACTCCATTTGCCACATTATATTTTTCTTACATTTTTATGAATATGTTCTGATCGGTAACTTTTTTTTTCAGGACCAGTATTTAGTGCAACTATTGTGCAAAAACTGGGATTCGAGGGGTAAGTTTAAAACACTTAGTTTTCTAGTCCTTCCTACAAAGAAAATGAATGTTATACAGTTAGGAGTTATTTTTATTGTTTGACAGATTTAGTTACTAAATCGGATCTTTAATAGATAATTAAAACAAATTAAAAACACAAATTAAAATAAAAATAATAAAATTAAATTAATTACACAAATTAAAACTGTATATATCAGTTAAGCTGAATTATAGTAGAGCCAATCTTGTCGTTCTTCATCACTTTCATTTCTAATAAGCACATAACTACAATCAATTAATAATTTAACTCTTAGATAGACGAAATGATAAAAGCGAAAAATGTAAGGTTTTAGGGATTTATATTTATTTTAACTAACACTTTAAAGTTTGACTTCTTCATTCCCCTAATTGTCAGTGCCAGAATAGTTAAATGTTGTAGCGCGCGGAAGCAAATGCAAATTTTTCTGCCTTGAAGAAGGTATTTAAAAGCTGAGTTTCGGTAGGAGAAAGAGAAAGTTAGGCTTTAATCGCCATCGCTGCCTTAACTACGTTTGCTCATTGCTGTTTCAAGTGGCTTAATTGCATTGCTTAGCTACCAGTAGCGTAGAAGGGGGTTTAAGTTACGGGATCTCGCTGAGCCCTGTAGTCTAGGTCTATAGTTTGTGAATATCTTCAAATTTTAGTTTAATAACGTGATTTTCGGTTACCGCCGCCCACGCAGAGGCGAAGTTTGTTAGCGTCGAGTTGACGCATTGTAAATTTTCAAAAGACTTAATAAAGGGTATTTTAACCCTTCTCTTGTGTAATTTGCTGCTACTCCAATAGATAGAATTTCACCCACCTGGACTCTACAAGGTAATTTCGTGGTTTTTTTTTTTTTTTTTTTTTTTTTTTTTTTTTTATACAATCTGTTTTCTGCTTCCATACCCTACAACAAATTGAAATACTTTTTTAGGAATTTTAATATAATTTATCATTTTTAAGGATGCGGTTTCCCGCCTTCATTCGAACATTTCTCTAGATCAAGAATTTATATTTGTAACTCAAATTTATATTTGTAACTCAAATAGAGTATACACATAGTAGTGTTCTACACAGGAAGGCATAATTCGACAACCATTGAAGTTGTCATATTAATAAAACTTCGGCAGCAGAAAACGAATTAATTTAATTTACCAACGTCTATGAAGAAAAATCAAAAATTCGAAGAGGAAAACCGCTAGAAATACTCGAGAATGTTCAATTTATAGATCGAATCTAAAAAATGCTAAAATTAATGGATATTTAATATCGTATTGTACGAATATTTAATAGCGTATCGTATCTACTCCTAATGCCCTTTCTAAGTGCAGGAAATTGGAATCTATCAACGGTAAATTAATTCGTGGCACAGATTCTGTTAATCAGCGGAAATCTCCTGGAATGCCATGAAGATATTTGATTGGCTATACTGGAGAAAGCTGTACATTATAGTAACACGTAATTAGTCTATTCCTGTGTTGACTCGGTAACTGAACCAACTGCTATCAAATTTGAATCACTTCTTCATCTTTGTCTTCTCACTGGTCATACTAAATTTCATCACGATCGAATAATTTTTCTAGGATCACAGACTTTCTGTAGCAGAGAGTAAATTTAGAAACACGATAGTAATATTGAACCAAAACAATTTTAAATACATTTTACAGAATTTTAATATTTATCTGACCTGATTTGTACATCAGTATACTATAAAAATAATTCTGTTAAGTTAGTAAGAAGCAAAGTGTTATTTTCATACATTATTTTTTTAATATTAATTTAATATTTTTATGTCTCACTTTAGATCAGTATGCGCAGTTGCTTTGATTAGCTTCCTTTATGCACCTTTGATGATACTTCTAAGAAAACCTCCTGGGAAGGTTCAGGAAAAGGTAAGGCATTTTCTTTTCGCATCACTTTCGATGTGTATATGTATATATATAAAACATTCAAACAACAAAAGTACTACCCTTATTCTACTTTTAAAATACTAACCTTATTCTACCTTTAAAAGCTGAATTACGTGGGTGTATACCCTGAAGTTGCTTGCTAAACCAATTATCATATTATAGAAAATTGTTTCAGCCAATGCCGCTACTTTCGCTCTCTGTAGGGCTGCTATGTAGTTCTTTAAAGATGTTGGGGATCCGGGATCTTGGAAGTATCAGCTGCCATTGGAACGCCTTTCCTTCATCTGATTCGAATTATCGCTATAAGACGCCGTTTCGAATGTGGAGTCAGTCCCAGAGAGCCCAATATTATTTTGTCGTAAGAATGTAGATCGAAATGTCCTGCCAGGTAGGTTTTCTGTTTGAAGTCTCCATTAATTCAATTATGGGTTTAATTTCGTCATCTTCCAGCTGGTCTTTCTTGACTTCCTTGTTACTCCGTGTGTCTCGGTCAGCCGATATTGATGTTGTAAATTGTCGTGCGAAAGCAGTTCGTATTTCGCTTCGACCCTGGACGCCTATTCTATGATCACTGGATCTGTCTACAACTTAAGCGAACAATATTGACTCAAAGAAACCGGTATGGACAGCTATCAACAACTTATCGGAGAAAGCCATTCTGTGGTCCTCAGTTGGTGGCGGGTGGGTCCCATTTAACTTTACTGAAAGGGGACAGGCTTCAAGAGCTTTTAGACCATCGCAGTACAGACGAGTGACGAAATTTATAGCGCGCGCGCTGGCTGAAGTTTCTAGGAATATCCTCCCATAATTTCACTAACTCACACCTGCTTGTAGTTCGAAAAAATTGCACAAACAGTATTATGACCAACACGCAGCGGAATATGCTGCTGTGTTATGTGAAGGAAAATTCCGTTTTTTAAGGGGAAACTTAACTCAGGAATTTAGAGCTAAGAAATAAAGAGAGCAATGGTAAATAGATAAAAGTAAATGAATTAAGCTTACTTCAAATCCTTTTAATAAACAATTTTAATCATTTAAATTTATAATATGATTAATTTGCATTACAATCTAATAGCAAACTAAGTTTTTTTCCTTTTTTTTTTTTTTTTTTTCCCCATGCTTACATTAAAACTGTTTTCCCGCAATTTATTTTACAGTTACTATTGGAAAATATTTCTTTACATAATAAATTAGAAAGAAAATTTCTTTCTTAATATTTTTTTCTTCCCTTTTTTTTTATTTCTTTTACTATGAAAATTATTTCTTTCAGGAAAAGAAATAAAATTCATTCGCTATTACAGTATGGCCGATTGCTGCTGCATTAAGCTATCACACACGCATCAAAATGTTTTATTTAAAATAATTTATTGTATAATTAACATTATAACTTAAAAAATAAGAAAATTTTTTTCAATATAAAATATATAACCAAAATTAATACTAATCTATCCTGTATATGTGATTAATTCGTTTTGCAATTTTTGTCACACAGTTACTAAGACTTTTTTTTTTTTTTTTTAATATTACATTGCTGTTACTTGAATTTTTTATATATATAAGAACTGCTCAGTTTAAAATATTCTTCCTTCTCAAAAGATTTTATTCTGTGAAAATAATTAAAATATAGTAATATTTTCACAGTGTAAGTACTAAAGTAAAATAATCAGTGTAGGTCTCTTGCAGTTAAGTCTTTGTGAAACAACGTTTCGACACATTTTTAAATAGAAAACTAATAATAATCAATATCTCTTTTACAATAAAAAATGAGAATCTATGAGCAGTTTTTTTTTTTTTTTTTTTTTTTTTTTTTTTTTTTTTTTTTTTGTTGTTGTTAAATTTGCAAAGAAACAATGATTTTTTAATACTATAATAGGTTACAAAAGTACTATTCCATGAATAAACCCTCAGTCTTATAGCATTGTTACTTTATAGCATAAACATAATATGCAGTATAATTCTACTAGCAAGCCACCGCTGCCGAGCGGTAGAGTCGCTGAACGCAGGTAGTTTAGTCCGAGGTTTGAATCCCGGAACGAGCTAGCCGGCGTTTTTTGTGGCTTTCCGCATGTGTAACTTGTATACGAGCCAGTTTCCCTTAGAAGTCCTCACTTAGAAACCAGTTTTAAAACGTAATAAATTATACACAAATAATAATAATAATAAATAAATAAATAAATCTGAAAGCCTTCAGATTTTATATTACTTCCAAAGGGCCATTATTAACGTTTTGCGTGTTATCTTTATTTATTAAATATCATGTTTTCCGCACTTAAACCATAAAATTCAATTCAACATCAATACCATATAATTTAAAAAAAGCATATCTTTAGAATTTCCGATACATATCTCCCGCGCTAGAGATGAAAATGTGTTTTTTCTGTACAATGTTGCTATTGCTCGCTTTGAAATCGTTGAGTTTCTTAATCAAAAACTCATAAATGCTTTACAAAATATGAAATAGATAATAAACAAATTCCTCAGTTCCAAATTTGGGCCTCCAGATGCCTATATTAGGGTGGAGGATTACGTTATTCAGAATTTCATGGCTCTAAGTAGCGTTGTTTTATCACTGTGCGAGAAACATTCATACATTCTGTAGATTCCTCATTATTTAATTTCTTTAAATATAATAGAGTGCGATAATACTTGGTGGCAACGATTTGAAAAGTGAAACGCCACAAAATGGCAAACGAAATTAATAATTAATAGCCCCTCTGAGCTAAAACTTATTTTTGAAAGTATCACATTAGTAGTAGTATACAGCTTACTGAAAAAGATATTATAAAGCTATTTTTATAGTTTTTATAATTTTTTTTTAATTTTATTTTACAGTAGTGTGAATTTCGCGTAATAATGAACGACATTCCTTTTTGTGTTCACGTATTATTGGTAAGGTATTCAACTGTTAGATTTAAAGTAACGTAATTCTTGCTGTACATAAATTGAGTAGAAGCTTATCGGATGTCTACATTTGTGTTAAATAAAGAAGTTTTATGTGCTTGATAAACTTATCATCTTCTACATTTTTAAAGCATACAATTACAATTTATATCTATAATTTTCTGGAATAGTATAACTTTTCTTTCAGTAGAAATTGCGTTCTTGTTTTCTGAAGTGCGCTCCAATACTCTCTCAGTTCATCGCAAATTAAAATAACTATAAATTTTGGCAATCTGAAATACGCAACGAAAACATCTTTTGGCAGAGCAAAAGCATCAATATATTTTCTATAAATTCGCCACCTATTCAGAGAGCTACGACCGTAATCTTCGTTTAAATATGAAAAAATCAGCAGCGAAAACACATACAAAGCCATTGTCTACTTAGTACGTCAACTGCACAACCCTGATTGACGGCGCGGCAACACTTTTTCACGCGCTTTCGACAACTTCCGTACTCAGAGAATATAGGATGTCGGGCAGACCTGTTTTTTACTAGCAGCGACATCTGGCGGCCCACAACTTGCTGTCGACTCTCGTAGCGTAGAATAACCGTCCTGGAACAATATCGGCAGCTTTCTGGTCAAGGTCTTCTAGACAGGGCGTCGGCTTTTCCGTGTGATGATCTCTTCTGATCACGGGTAGTGATGTCATATTCCTGGAGTCTCTGTATCCACCTGGCTATTTGACCCTCAATATTCATGAAATTTAAAAGCCAGGCCAATAATGCATGATCCGTGCGGAGCAGGAATTTTCTGCCGTATAGATAATGATGGAAATGTTCAACGACTTTGACTATGGCGAGCAACTCTTTCCTGATGACCCAGTAATTCCTCTCCGGTTTAGACAGGCACTTGCTCCAGTAAGCCACTAGATGTTCTTGGCCGTTTATTTCTTCTGACAAAAAAGTACCGACACTTTTATTGCTAACGTCCAAGTCGAGAATAAATGGTCTGTCGAGCTGAGGATACGTCAGGATTGGAGCAGATGTTAAAGCTTCGTTCAGGTTCTTAAATGCATCCTCACATTCTTTTGCCCACAAGAACTTTTGCTTGCTCTCTGTCAGCTTGTGAAGAGGTCTTGCGATGGAAGAAACGTCCTTTGCGAATCTCCTATAGTAGGTGCCAAGCCTTAGGAAGCTTCGCATAGCTGATGGACATTTTCGGGACGCTTCCAGTCTTTAACGGCTGACCATCTTTTCAGGATTCTATATACAGACGGGTCTGGGATTGAGGGAAGGACTGGAGCAGCGTTTGTTGTATATTATTTTGGTGTCGAGATCGACTATATGAAATTTACATTAAATAACCATAATTCTATCCTTCAGGCAGAGTGCGAGGCTCTATATCAAGCCTTAATTTGGATTAACAGATGCGTTACTTTTCAAAATACCATTAATATTTACACATGTTGTTTGTCGCTGCTTCAGTCTCTCTCCCGTCCAGACAACGCCAATCCCTTCATCTTGAAAATCAAAAACTGTTTACAAACTTTGCGGGTATTTAGATGTAAAACCGCACTGGATCAAAGCTCATATGGGGCATATTGGAAACGAGAAGGCCGACTGTCTGGCCAAGAAGGCAGCCTCCGATATGGATATCCCCTTTATTTGAATTTCAGGATTTAAACAGATGGCCACCACACATATGAAGAAATTTTAGATTGACAAATGGAAAATCCTATGGGAAAATTCACCAAATAATAAATGATAAATGAAAATTATCAGAATTTCTAACAAAATGGCTATTTTTAACAATACTGATTTAAATCAAATTCTTACTCGCCACGAGAGAGATTTCCCTATTTTAAGAGATTCAACTTACAAAATAATGAGCTTCGTGCTTCTTTTAATGCCATTGGAGACGCGAAACATTTTGTGGAGGACTGTCCTATTTTCGCCGATCAGAGGAAGCTTTACAAAATTGATAATGCTATATATAATGATAATTTTGATATCAAGGCTTTTATATCTTTTGCACAAGATGTCCTTAAATTTATTAATGCAAATCGAGGTGTAATTGGAATTGGTAACTGATCTGATGTTGTCCTTTGTATTAATTTTTGTTTGTATGTTCGTGAGCCCTTATTGTTGTACCCTGATTTTTGTTATATGTTTTTCCCTATTTTTGTTTTATATTTGTGTATTATTTGCATCTTTTTTATATTTTATATTATGCATTATTTATTTGCATCTGATGTTCTTTTGGGGTCACTCTTTGTTTTGACCATGAGGCCACTTCGTGACCAGGAGGGTCTGAGTGTACCCCCAATGTATTACAATGTATTACCTTTTCAGGATCCGTGCACACATCTTCAGCAGAGATGACATGTCCGAGGGAAGTAAGTCACTCCCTTTCTGAATAATTTGCCTTTAGCGGTACTCAACATTATATTGGCTTTAGTTTCTAAAGTACCTATCTAAGATTTTCTAGATTTTCTTCAAAACTCT